CCAGGGACTTAGTGATGAAGTAAACAGGCATGACCCCTGCCCTTGCAGTAGAGTAGGGGAGCAAGCAAATAAATAACCAAATAAACCCTGTTTTTTGTTTATGTTTTTGAGGGAAAAGCTCAGGATTCTAGGAGAGACAATATAGGTGCTAGATGACCGGTTATTTCCTGAAGAGAATCTGAGAAAAGCTGGGCAATCGGGGTTCGGCCCCAAATGGCCGTCCATATGCTCTTTCTGACCGTGATGCACAAGATCAACATCCAGGTGGAGGGGCGGGGCGGGGAAAGGAGGGGACACAAAGCCGACTCCCAAAGCCCTGGTGAATGAAAGATTTTTGCTGAATATTTTCCTTAGGAGATGGAAAAGGGAAGTTACATAGCACACCATATAGCAACGTTTCCTAAAGATCTTATTTAAACATTTGCTCTTTATTTTCCCAATTTTCTGTCCCATTTGGGAGCTGCCAAGTCTCTCTTTTTTCTGCTCTCGTTGACTCTACCCATCCCCCATCCTGGAGCCTGCTCCCCCATCTACTTTCTGGGTCTCCTCTCTGGGTCTCTGTTCCTTCTTCTAAAGTAGCAGGTCTCAAAGGGGGTGATTTTTCCCCCTTTCCAGGGGACATTTGGCAGTTTATGGAGACATTTTTGGTTGTCACAACTGGGAGTTTGCTGCTGGCATCTGGTGGGTAGAGGCCAGAGGTGCTGCTAAACATCCTACAGTGCATAGAAAAGGCCCCCACAACAAAGAATCATCTGACCCAAAATGTCATCAGTGTCAAGGTTGAGAAACCCTGGACTAGAGAGGGTTAGCCAGCTTCCAGGTGTGGTGGGCCAAAGGCGGGGCCTGGGGTTTGCTGTATACCTCGCCTCATCCTCAGAACATTAGCAGGGAACAGGTGCTTCCAAGTCTAGATAATTGAAAGCAGAGCGACCCTCTTCCCCTCCTGGGGAACCCTCCGGCAAGCTGAATCAGGGCCGTGTCTAGAACCACACTGACCTATAGAAAGAACCACATAGAAACATATAGGCGCCAAGAGTCCCCTGTGGGTGCAGGCCGGCCCCCCGCCAGCTAACAGCTTGGAATGGGGTTGGCTCCCGGAGGCTGGGGAGGGCTGCCGTGTTTGCCTTGGACAGGCCTGACTGCATGCTTCAGCACAAGCTGGGCAGGGCCTCGCCTTCTATCAATAAAACCTGGGCCCTGCTCCAGGCTCGCTTGCCTTTTCTAAAAAGCTTATTTGTGCTGATTTCCGCCTTGGCTTGATTTTCTGTTAAATACAAGGATGGAGTTTCTTTCACCTTGACATTGTCACCTGGGCTAGCTAAGCTACTGTGCACATGCCCTTTTCCTAGGGGACTTTGTGGCCAGGGCCTTGGTCTGTGCTCAGCTAGTTTGGGGACATATGGCTGTTAGAAGGTCTCAGCTTGGTGGCGTCCATCCAAAGAGAACGGTTAATTAACACTCTTTATTTTTTCTTTCTGTACATTCATACATTTTTCAAAACTTGATTGAGATCATTCTATAGATAAGTATTAGGCCTTAACTTTTGAAAAACAGTAATCTCAAGGTTCTAGCTATCTTATCTGTCATGCCAGAGGGAGGTCAAGAGGGAGGAAGAAGGGGCAGGTGTGCGAGGGGACAGAGATGGGCTCAGAACCCCTGGCTGCACTCACAAGGCCATGTGTGGTTGTGTGCGTGTGTCTGGCTAGGGCAGCTAAACTGAAGAAGGGTAGCTGGTAGCTGCCTGTGCTTTTGTCAGACACAGAATCCGTTGTTTCAGAGTCTCTTCCTGGAGATCTCCAAGGTCTATGATGTCTGACTTTTCCCCTGGGCACTCATTGTTGACCTAGCTAATGTCCTTCAAATCTACTCCAGATCCTTTCTTCAGTTTAAGCCTGTTTCCTAGCGAACATGGGTGCCATTGGCTAAAGACCACAATAAATTGCCAAAACAGCTGCCATCCCTTTATTTGGAGGCATCCCCTAGAGGCTTTATACTTCAAGTGATCTTAAGGGTGCTCTTACCATGTCACCTCTGTGATGAAAAAGACCCCAGGCTCCCCAGCACCTTCAGGATGAAGTTAGACCTCTGCTGGTTTGGTCCAGTCCTTTCATTGCCTTTGGAAGGTAGACCCTAAGGGAGGAAGTCCTTGCTCCAAACTGTTGGGTCTTATTATAACCCACTGTAGTCCAGGGGGATCCTAGCAGCTCTGTCCCTTTGGCCTTTGGTGCCACTTTTCTTGGTACGTGGAATGCAAATGACAAGAAAAAACATAAGCACTCTTTC